GAAAAGGCACTAGGTATTGCAAAAAAGCAAAATAAGGCACTAAAAAAGACAGAAAATACGAAGAACAATCAAAAAATACATTTATTTTAGAAATGTTAATATTACAAGTAAAAAGTGAAAAACTATGAACTAGTTTCATTATATGAAAAATTTGTACTTTGAATATTTGACAATTTTATCCTTTCGAGTTTCTAACTCATAAAACTTTAATCTGAAAAGTTGTAGTAACATTGAACCACAAGATGCATTTTGAAGTTTTCTGGCAGCATTTTCATTCGATTTTCGCGAAGAAAAGCCTTGAATGTACTAAATGTGCGCTCGACGTAAGTTGATACAAGTGGAGCCCAATTTAAATATGGAACGTTTGAAACGTTCATATTATCAGGAATAAGGGCGTTTTCCTCGCCCTTTACAATTTTATCCACATCCCTTATTATCTCCAAGCCTACGTGAGCTGAGAAAACGGCTTTGAATTTTTCCAACACCAATTTGGCAAGAGGTCCCTGCGCTTCTATAAGCCGCATGGGCATGTGTATATTTTTTAATCTTAAAAAAAAAATTGTAAATGCTATAATCACTTTTTTAAAGGTAGAAAAGGCAAAAAAAGGCAAACATCTTAAAAAAGGCAAAAAAAAAGGCAAATATCTTAAAAAAGGCAAAAACAAGGCAACATCAAATGTGTATATATGGAATCAGGGAAAGCTAAATCGTGGACATTCTTAATCGAATATACTCTATCTCTTTAGCAGAAAAAAAGGCAATTTCCATAAAATCCGTTCCCTGTTTATTACATTAAGGACACTATTCGAAGGTGTTATTATTTAGCTAGAATAAGCAAACATTTTATAAATATTATTGGGCAAAAAGTTCATTTAGTTTGTAGACATTGTTAACAATACTGGTTTAAGTACTTTTTATTTAAAATTGTTAAGCAGGAGCAAAGTAAATTGCAAAAACTTAAAACATTAAAAAAAAAGAAAATAATAAGTATTAAAACAAGTAAAAAATTATATATAAAATACTATAGTAGGTATATAAACTGTCAACATACATATGTATGTACGGTATTTGCTATCTTGTAAAATAACGGTAGATAACAACGCCAAACGGCTGCTAATCAAAGCTATACATACTATCTAATTTAAGCTTTTGTAATAATGCAAAGATTTTTCACATTCTTATCAAAAAAAAATTTAGTGCTAGCTGGGATTTTAGCTATTATCAATATAATTAAATTGCTTCCCTATCGCTTGCGATGTAGAAAGATAAATGTTGCCCGACTTGGTGCTTATGTAAATACATACATATGTACATATATGTTTGTAAATGTACTTCACTTTAATCAAAAAGGCATAAAAGAAGAAAAGTAATATAAAATTTGGCTATTTTTTGGAAAAAAATTCGTTTTTTTTACTTTTACCGTTCTTGCGAAAGCTTTTTTTCTTCACATTTGTTTATTATCCTTAATTTTTTAATAAAAAAATCAAGTTTTTAAATTATTATTTTTTTCATTTACGCGTACATTTTTTTCTTTTATTTTCTTTTTAAACTTAAACTTTTGATTTTTTTATTTACTCGCACATTTTTTTTTTTTTTTTTAATTTTTTTACTTATCTATACTAATTATATAAGGTAATCTCGCGAATGGCAGGCCTGATTTTCATTAAATTTTGTATATGAAATGCTTTCAGCAACCACCATGTCAAGGGCTAAAAAAAATTACGATTTGCTTGAAATTTGGTACGTAGGTAGCTTTTTGCACAGATTAGCACAAAGCATCCTTTTGTTCCGGTAAGAGGACTAGGGACTGATCTATTAAAATCTTCTTTATGGTCCGATTTGCTTGAAATTTGCGAAAAAAATTGCTCTCCAGGTGGCTCTGGATTCGAGTTATTACTAAAAGTCGAATTTGCGATCCGATTTTCCTCATAATCGGTAGGGGCAATACTGTTGCAAAAAGAGCTGCAAGGTGGCTCAAACGCCATGTTTCAATAAAACACTAAATTTTGGGCGGGACGAAGTTCGCCGGGTCTGCTGGTGTACATATACTCAAATAAATTATCATGTGTTAATTTTTTTTAATATTCGTAATGTTTTTCGAGATAAATTCATTTGTTATTTTTCTATACAAATATTTACCGCCCAACCTTTACTCAAAACCATATAAATCACAATTTCAACCTTTATACAAAATTTAGGAAAATTCAACAAACTTTCATCGAAATTTCAACTTTTTAATCTGAATCTTTAGAACATATTTGGTTGGTTGTGCAGTTGTATAGCCCATAAAATTGTAGTCTAATGGGGTGCAAGCTTCAAATGGCTGAAAAATCCCATTGATTTTTGAGATTTTTTTTTTTTTTGTGACAGATTTTTGCACTTTTTTCCATATAAGCATGAATAAAAGGCGAGGAGACCGTTAGCAACAAAATTTCAAAAAATCAACGGCAGTTTTTGTAAATTGCACTTAAAAAAAAAAGCAAAAGCAGTCTCCAAAAAAAATCTCAAAAATCATATTGAAAATTTGAGGAAAATTTGTTGAATTTTTATAAATTTTGTATAAAATTTGAAACTATTTTTGGTTGAAGATTGGGCGGTATTTTTACAGAAAAATAACAAAAACAAGTTAGCTCAAAAAACCTTACTAATATTTAAAAAAAAATCAACACGTGGTCATTTGATTGAGTCACTGTATATCACATATATTTTTTGGTTATTTATATATTTTTCATTTTTGCTTTATTTCTTATTTTTATTTTATTACATATTTTTATTCTTTATTTTTTATATATTATTAAATTCATATTTTATTTTTTTACTTTTTATTTGTCATTACTTTTATTATTATTTATTATTTGTTGCTATTTTTATAATGTTTTATTATTTTCTGTTTGTTATTGGTTTTGTACTTTATATTTTTTTATTTTTTGATATTTTTTAAATAGATTTTATTTTATTTTTTGGTTCTTACATACTTTTCATATACATAGGTATGTATTATTTGGCACGATTTTTTTTTTATTATTTATTTCATTTATGTATTTTTTATTGTATTTCATTTTTATTTTTTATAATTTTCTTTTTTATTTTTCTATTTTTATTGGTTTTGAACTTTATATATTTTTTTATTTTCTTATATTTTAACATTTTTTATTATGATTCAAATATTTTTAATTTTTTTATTTATTTTTTTTTTTTTAATTTTTGCTATTGTTGTAAACTAAAACTGGAAGGGCCGCAAGGGCGCGGAAATTTGTATCAACTATCTACGAAAACCTTCTTTGTATTCTAAATTTATGTCCAGACTATTTAGTATTTTTGAACACTGGGGATACAGGGGATGATGCCAAAACTCTTCTATTAGATAATTTTGAAAACCAAAAAGGTAAAACTAGTAAAAAATTAAAACAAAAAAGCAAGTAAAGAATGAAGAAAAATCATGTAGTAGAAAAATATTAGAAGGGTTGATTAAACAATCGCTACTTAGGTGGTTCTCATACGAAATTCATACTCGAGTTAAGCTACTTCTCAGTACATATTTACATTTTCAAGGCAAAGCGTAACAAAAAGTAAAATCAACACTAAATAAAATCAATACTAAATAATTTCCGAACTGAACTCAATTCGAACTAAAATTTAAAATTAAAATAAACTCAAAACAAGAGAAATTATGAACAAAAACCGAAAGTAATATAAAGCATTTTCGACCTTTCAGCCAACTTACCGATCCTTATCATTTTGAACCGAACTGCGTCCCGAATGTACTGACTCGCGTCCGTCGGCCGTAGCCGCCGCCAATGAGCTACTATTTAAGCTGGCGTGATCACCACCAGCCGCAGCATGCGCGCCTAACCCTGACGCAGTAGTGTTTGCAGCCATAGCGTGGCCATAATACTTCTTGTACCACTCCGAGTATGCCTGCGGATTGGTGCGCGCCATTTGCTCATAATAATAGGAGGTGTAAGGATCATAACCAAACGCTCCCTGGGGATAACCGTACATCGCGGCATGTCGTGGATCGTAGCGTACGCCACGCTCTTTTTCCAAATCACTTTCGCGTGCATTACGCGAACTCTGTTTGCGGTACTCTTCATATTCGCGTGCATCGCCGCGCTCACCACGTTCAGCACGCGTTGGCTTTTCACCACCACCAGCGCGATGCCGGCGCTCGATTGTGTCATTATCACCACCACGTTCGCGTCGTGCGCGTCTCTGCTCACGGCGTTCCTCATCTACATAGTTGCTGCGGCGTGCATCGCGTCCATCGTCGATACCCTTCTCTCCAACGCGTTTGTTTGAGCCACGTTGGCGGCGATTATAGTCATCATAGTCGCGTTCACTACGATCACTACGGCCTGCGCGCTCTTCATTGTGATGACGCGCGCCGCTGCGACGCGCCAGCTCTTTGCGCCGACTGGACACATCGTCGGCATCTTCTTCATACTGCCGACTGTGACGCACGCTGCGACGCACTGTATCTGATTTACCACTTTCGCGGCCATAATACTTTTCGCGCAATTTTTCACGTTCGCCAGCGCCACGCTCGTCGCGCTTTTCGCCACGTTCGCCAGCGCGGCGCCGCTTATCCTTCGCATACTCACGCTCCTCGCGTTCACGATCGCTGCGCACGCTACCTTCACGATAACCGCGTCGACGCTCACGCTCTCGTTCGCGCTCGCGTTCACGATCACTTGAATAGGGTTCAGACTCATCGAGCTCGAGATCATCGCTTTCATAACGATCGACAGAACTGCGATGCTTGTCGCGCCGCTGTTGTTGATGACGATCCAGAACCTTGCGATCCAATTCGCCGATCGAGTGCTTGCGTGACTTGTTGTTGCCTAAGTAGCGCGTGGCGTGATGGTGATGCTCGGCCACCGGATCGCTCTCATCGTTGCCAGTGGAAGCATTGGAGAGATCCTTCGATTTCGACGACTGGTGATGGTGGTGATGCTGAGCGTGATGTTGATGCACATCATGATCGTCAGTAGCTGATGGAGCAAGTGGCTCAGCGGTGGCAGCAGCGCCCTCCAAAGGTGGCTCGTCACGGCTGTTCACAGTGAGAAGGGGAGGGGGCAGCTGATGCTGCTGATGCTGATGCTGATGCTGCTGATGCTGATGCTGATGCTGCTGCTGCTGCTGTAGCAGCAGTTGTTGTTGCTCTTGCTGTTGGTCTTCCAAATTTTCGCCGTCAAGTTCGATTTCGCGCTGTCCGCTGGCGATTTGAGATGGTGGCGCTGGTGCATTGCCCTCAGGTGACCTTTCCACGCCCGTAACAACACGTTGCTCGTTGTTAACATTGCTTTCGCCGGGCACCAAATACAAATTACGGTCTGTGGTAATATCGATAGTGTTGCTGTTGTTCACGGAGGCAGCGGCAGGAGCTGTGAAAGAGAATTAATTAGTTTTTTAGCAAGCACAAATCTTGAAAATATGGTCTTCTCACCTCCCAAATTGCCGCCATTCCCTATGTTAACGCGCTGGGAGGCATTCAGCAGCGTTGTTGGTTGCGCTTGCTCCAGCGATGTGTCCTCGCCATCGGCATGACGTTCATCCATATGCATATTTGCCGGCTCTTCGGTACCAGTAACCATGCGCTGCGATGCTTCCAACAGCTCTGGCTGCCCCAGCACGAGGCGCGAGAGCCCCGGTGGTGGCAAGCTGTCTGCTTCCAAATTGAGCTCTTCATCGGGGTTCTCCGACAGCGGACTAGTCTGCAAATATTGATTGCGCTCATCGTTGGGCGGCGGTGGTGGCGGTAAAGATGCTTGTGTAACGGTTGCAGCTGCTGTTGTGCCAAGTAGTGTGATCGCTGTTGGCGGCGATGACACTGCCGCACCTAAGACTTCCTGATTTTCATGTAAAATTTCAGAATTGTCGGGCTCCAAGTGATTGAGTAGCGGATTGGCAAAATCAGCGGGTGGTGGTGGCACCGCAAAGGCCGTAGCAACAGCCGAAGACAGTTGTGGCACAACTGGAGGTTGCGCAGCACTGCTTGTAGCCAGCAGACCAGCGCGATGATGCTGTGCAGCGCCAGCACGCTTGAAAGGGTTGCTGGCTGCAGCGGCGCCAGCGCCAGGTGGTGGTGGCAAACTGCTCGGGGGAGTCATAGCGGGTGGTGGCAGGTTTTGCAGCGGCAGATTTGGCGCGCTGTTAGTAACAGGTGCCACAGACGGCAGATTAGATTCCAGCTGTGTTGCTGAAATTTCATTTTGGAATGCCTGAGGTGGTGCCAAGGCATTTTCCAATGGCTCAGTTGTAGGACTGGCAACTCCAGGTGGTGAAGCGTACTGCCGTGAAGGACGTGAAACCGGTTTAGCTTGTGACACGTAAACGGAATTCGGAATGTTGCTGTTAGTTGTGACGCTCACACTGCTGACGGTCGATGAGGGTGCGGAAGCGATAAGGTTGGGGGCCATTGGTAGCGCGCTGGTGTTATAGTTTTCATTGGTCGCCTCGGTGAGTGGGAGCGAAGTAGGTTTGACTGCGGATAATGAAAAATATGAAATTGAAATTATTTAGAATAGACAAAGTTATTTTCAAAGCACAAAAATAATAGCCTATTAAAATCTATAATTAATGTAATATGGAATTTTGTTTAAAATTAAGTCAGATGCTGTAAGAATACTATTTTCTGTAATATTGTGTATATATATTTATTGTAATATTCTCAAAGGAGTTAGCGACAAATGTCGTGCTGCTATCGTAACTTTGCGACATTTAAAGCACACGGCGGCCTACTGAGTACTTACCCAAAATATTTGCTGCTACTGCCTTCACGCCACTAGCATCTGTACCAGCAAATTCTGCCGCTTGCTGCTGCGGCACTTGAATGCTGCTTGCAACTTGTCGGGGCACTTGTGACGCTTGACGATTATTTGTTGTAGTGTTAGTTGGCACTTGAGGTGGTTGTAGTGTTGTTGACTGCTTTTCAACGCCTACAGTGTTGGCATTCGCATTTACATCATCACTTAGATTCCAATTCCAGTTATCGTTTGACGATTGTGTACCAAAACTGTCCTCAATTACACTTGTAGTTGTATAATTGGTCGATTGCTGTTCGAACGAATGTTGTTGTTGTGGTGGATGCTGCACGGGCTTATGAATCGGTAACTGCATTGGTTGCTTTTGCTGCTGGCCAGCTGGCACCTGCTCAGCGTCACCACCAATCACATTACCATTATCATTCCAATCCCAGTCGCCCCAGCCTTCGCTTTTAGTCGCATTGTTGTTATCGAATATATCAGCGGCTGATTGTGCTGGCTGCTGCTGTTGATATTGTGGCTGCGACTGAAAAAAATTCGCTGCGTCATGAGCTACCTGCTGCTGTTGCGGCTGCTGCGGCGGTTGTGGATACGTCGGCTGCCGTACAGTTGACAACGGTGGCTGCGGCGGCTGCTGCTGAGTCATTTGATTTGATGTGAAATAATTGTCGTAAGTTGTTTGGTGTATATTTTGTGGTTGCTGCTGCTGTGGCACATTATTTGCAACATCGGCTGGCGGCAAATCTGGCGGTTGCCAGATATTATGCGTAACATTGGTATGCGGTTGCTGCGCGGCATATAAGTTGTTGGTATGCGGCTGTTGTTGTTGTTGTTGCTGCTGTAGCGGTTGCTGTTGTTGTTGTTGTTGCTGCTGTAGCGGTTGCTGTTGTGGTGGGTGTGGCCAATTACTGTTAGCAGTGGCTGCATTAGCTGGCAACATTTTATTTGGCTGCACGTAAGATGGTTGCTGCCAGGCGGCAGAAGCTGGTGTAGGCTGTTGCTGAAAAAAAAGAGAGAAAAAACTGGTTTTATAGACATGTTTATGGAGACTATCTAAGCCCAGAATGTAATATATAAAAAACATGCATTAAATTTGCAAAAATGTGGATTTCGAGTCAAGCTCAAAATATGTATAGTAACTGAGGATAGAAGCGTGTAGAATTAAAAAATATTGTTTTTGGTTCACTAGGACGAATGGGTTTTGTGAGTACATTGATTTTTTTTTTTTTTTGTAAATTTTACTGTCGCAAGGTGTTATCAGTTTGTAGGGGAAACATTATTCTTATTATTTCATTTGATTAACAAATTTAATTCGTTAAAACCATATTTTTAGCTACTTTTTTAATCTTCTTCTCAGCTTAAGGGAAATTTTATTTACTTATAGATTTTTTTGAGTGTGTACATAGGTTTCCGAGTAATTCCAATGCAAATGAAACGATAATAAGGTCGTGATCTGGCATATTCAATGCATTTTGCGCGTCAGTGCATTTTTTGAAATGAATAATAAATAATAAATTATAACTTATCAGAATACAAACGCAAACCCAAAATAAAAGCCAAATACGAATAAACAATTTAGCAAATTGAAATAATGAAACCAAGCAAATAAAATGACCGAAAATGCGCCGCTACAACAACAACGACCGAAAATGCGCGATACTAGTTTTTGTACAAATGCATAAATAATATATATATATATGTGTGTGTATGTATGTACTTATATAAAGCATACATTCATATACTTAGTTACCTTAAGATAGAAATGCCCTATATAGAATTTTTGTGTAGAGTAGGGAAAAAAACTTTATAAAACCCAAAGTTGTTTCTTTAAAATCCTGGATTTAATAAACACTGAAACTATTTAATTGATGAATGTGTGTTTTTCTAAATTCGATTAGTGAGTAATCTACAGAGTTTTTTACGAAGCTGTATTTCGAAACAAAATAACTTGGACCCTTCTATATTAAGGTAACGATATGTACATACGAACATACAAATGTTTGCGCGACTGATAGGACAACACCTCACACAACCCACTTACTATGGCATACATGAACGAGACCCAGTTAACCCAAATCAAGTTACCTGCTGCAAGTCAATGTGACCAGGCTGCTGCTGTTGGTGTGTGCCACCGTTGGCATGCATTTGTGCTCTCATGGAGTTTTGTTGGTGGTTTTGCTGTTGAGGCTGAGTAGTGTTATTGTTAGCATTTATAGGTTTACTCAAATATGCGCCAGTGGAGGGGGGAAGGTTAGATGCAAGAGGCGGTACCGGATTCGTATAAGCATTAGTGATGTTGGTGCCAGCAAAATTAGGTTGTGCTAGTGGAGCCTGTGTTGATAAATGCCGATTTGGTTGAGACTGCGGTGGTTGTTGTTGTTGTTGTATTTGATGCTTTTGCTGTTGTTCCGAATAAGAGATTTGCTGATTTGGCGGCTGCTGTAGAGATTGTTGATGCGGTAACAGCGTAGGCGGTAGCGGTGATGCATTTTGTTGCACCCAAGACATTTTTTTTCTTACAATTTACACACCGAAATTGAAGCTGTTGTGGGAAAGAGAGTTTCGATATATGTATGAAATAATGAATTGGTAATGCAATCAGTAGCCGTGTGTGTGTACATGCACGAGTCGCAGGTTGAATGAATAGGGAAACAGAACAATTGTTTAAATATTTGCCAATGCAGTGAATATAGTGGTATGAAAAATGTATGTATGTATATAAAAAAAATGGTATGTACTAAATTTTTTAATCACATACAATCCCGAATTGAAGGCAGGCAGGCGGTCGGAAAATGTTTCTTTTAACTTAACACATAATTGATTGGTACATATGCACATATAAACAATCAATATGAAAATGCTGAATAATGCCCGAATTCTAACATACGAAGTATTCGTCCGGTACCATTCTATAGCGCAAAACCATATCGACAAGATATGAACGTGATTACGCATTTATATAAGGATAATATGGGTGCCAGTAATTTAGCCCCATTTAATAAACGGGGTATATTAATAATGAAACCCCCAAAATTATGGTTTAGTTATGTATGTATATATCGTTGTTGCTATAAGCGACTCCCATATACTTTTCATATTGTTGTTGTGGTTGCGATGGAGTATGGCATACAGGCATAAACGAAAAAGTTTACGTGGAAGTTTTCTTCTTTGCACTAATCACCACCAACCCCAATTGAACTTTTTACCTTTTACTTTCAATAACCACACAAATTTGCAACACTTTCAACTATTTACAGCGGTTTAGCATATTCTTTACACCATATAGAGTGTTTTAAGCGTTTTTTCGTTGTTTTGCACACAAAATTCCAGGTGATTTTCGTGAAAGTTATAAAATTTCCAAGTGAAAAATCTACACAGTGCAAAATAAAAAAGAGCTCAATGCAGAAGATAGGAAAACACGAAATGTCAAAAAACAATTAAGTGTCAAAACAGAACATAAGAAAATACGAAAATTTATTATACAGGGTTGTATGCCAAACGAATTGTGGGATTTGTATAGTGTGGTTCAGGTTTTCGCAGTTTGTGCAAACTTATATTTGATAATACATTTCCTACAACAATTTCGCAAATATCAGACTGCAAATAAACACATAAACACGTTAGGTAGTGAAGTTGGCTGCAGAAAACGTCGAAACTGTCATTTTCGTGTTTTAGACAAACAAACCTATGCTTATTGTTGGTGTGATTTCTGCATTTTACGTAGCGTTGACGCTTTTGCTTACTGCCATACCTAAACATAAGCGTCAGCGTTGTCTGGCTGTCAAAAAATTCTCATGCCCATACAATTTGTATGAAGCATACCGAAACAACGCGGCGTCAACGCTGAGCGGTTGGAAAATCCGATTTTGACAGGGCGTTAGGCATTGAAGTTGGCTGCAGAAAACGGCGAAACTGTCATTTTCGTGTTACACACAAACAAACCTAGGCTTATTGTTGGTGTTATTTCTGCATTTGACGTAGCGTTGTCGCTTTTGTTTAGGTATGGCACTTCGGCGTTAACGCTAGGCGTCAGAAACCGCTCCGCCCAACGCTTTTGTTTAGGTATGGCAGTTAGGTATGGGACTTTGGCATTAACGCCAGGCGCCAGAAAACGCTCCCCAACGCTTTTGTTTACGTACGGCAGTAATAGCACCCGTATGTCCCCTTTCAGACACGTAAAGTCTTGCTTTCAAGTCTGCTCGTTCGTTGGTGAAGGTGGGAAGAGAGGGGAAGAACACAGATACCTCCGTACCGTCAATTCGTTTCAAGTTTTCTTGTTCTCTTTTGATCTTTTCGTTGCTTCCCGTTTAAAGAACCAAGTAGTTGCATTCAATAAAACTTGATGCGTGTGGAAACAAAGAGAAAACACAAAAGAGAATGCGATAAAAATTGCTTTCAAGACTTGGCGTGTCTGAAAGGGGACTATGCGCTTTTGTATCAGCTACACATTTTGCTCAGTGTATTTTTTCTTCACGTCATCTGTCACACATTTGTTTGCCCCTGTGCACACCTTCATACACACACTTGCACAACCCCTTAAATAAAAATTTTCTGCCTTTCATACTTTTCCAATTGAACTTACGTCTTTGTTTTTCAATTAGGTATGTTTGATTTTCGTTTTCGTGTTTTCACACACTTTGAAATGCATAATTTCACTTGAACTAAATCTGATGGCACATTCGTTTATCGTCTGCACTCGATTTTAATTCGCTAAATGCTTTTCGTTTGACAAAACTGCAATATTTCCGAACACTGCAAACTTCGTGCAATGATGAAGAAAAGTAACCCTGCGTTTTCTGACGTTTCTCTCCTGTTTCAGACGTCTCCGGGAACAGGGTGCACAAGAATCTCTAAAAAGTATAAAACGATTTTATTCGGGGATAAATTTTTAATTCCAATCAGAAATAATCATTAAAACCGTTTACGTACTATTTTGTTTTTACCGAAATTAGATTTGTTGCCTCAACAAAAATTATTGCAAAAAATTAGTTGCAATGGCACCACGCAACCTTGCGCATATTTGTATACAACTACAACAATCTTTTGGTTTGCTGATTTTGACATTTAGCTGACGTGTTCCGATTGCCCCATAAACTTAAAAATTTCACCATTTGCAACGAAACGCAACATCAATTGTTTTGTTGAATTTTTTGTTAATTTTTAAAAACAATATTCAATAAAACAAGTGAGCAATTATACGAAAACACAAAAAACTAGTTCCAAATAACGAAGGGTTGTAATGAGTGCAGTATCCGCGGTGTGCAGTAAGTAGTCGAGTAAAAATTCCCAGGGACTTCAGCAACTTAAATTTCAACATCGGCGCAACCGGAAAGCGAAAAGATGGCATTGCTCACAATGATAGCGCGTGTTATCGATGGACTTCCACTGGTTGGAACCATGCAAGACGACGAACAGGTATGCCCATACACCCTACGGCAAATGGCTGATAATTGACCGTCTCGCAGTGTCAAGGGTCAAATTTTAATTGGATCCAATTACCATTTACAAAATTTTAATTTTTCTTCTTTTACATGCCTACCAACTAGTCTGGACGCAGCATACTAGAGTACCAAAATCAAGCGAAAATGCTTTTCAGGAAACTAGGATCACATTCGCCGGCGCGTTGTAGCATAGAAACCGGACCCTATCTATTCCAGTAAGTGTAGAGCGCCGAGTACGAAGTGCAATGTTTGTTGTTTCCTCCCAGACAACATGCTTATTTCACACAATCGATAACATGTCAACTATTTTTTTCCTTGTTATATGCAGTTATCTAATTGAAAATGACGTCTGCTACCTGGTGATGTGTGATAAAATGTTCTCCAAACGCTTGGCGTTCAATTATCTGGAGGATCTAGCGCAAGAATTTCATGCCAACTATGGCAGACGTGTCAACTCTGTGACACGTCCATATGCATTTATCGAATTCGATGTTTATATACAGAAAGCCAAAAAGCAATTGACCGATCGAAGACGAAATATAAATGCAATTAACACACAATTGCAAGATGTGCAGCGAATTATGGTGAGTATAACTGAGCTAGCCCAAAATGGCTTTTGAAAATTTCAATTTCGTTTAAAACCTAGGTACAAAATATCGATGATGTACTACAGCGTGGCACAGTATTATCAGGTAAACTTTTAAATAATTTGCTTCCTTTTTAATATAGTACAGTAACTAAATTACTATGCTTCCAGAGCTGGACACGAAAACGCAAAATCTCTCGATGATGTCACAGAAATATAAAAAGGATGCGACATATTTGAACCGTAAATCTATGTATTTGAAACTTGGCGCCGCTGGTATTGCTATAGTAGTATTTATTTTGTACTTTTGGGTTTTGTAATAATTGTTAAATGTTTATTAAAAAGGAAAATATTACTAACTAAGCTAGCTAACCGTTTTCAAGTATAGGCGGCGTGCGTCTCTTACCAATGTATAAGTGCACTACAAATATTTAATGGTGACAACTGAATGACAAATTGTTTATTTTTTGATTTTTCTAGGCAATGTAATAAAAGGTATATTCAAAACTATTATAATGCGCTTACAATTTTTCTTATGGCATGCACCTTGCATATTAAGGTAAACTAAAAAGGAATAACTACTTACGTATATTAGTTAAAATTAAATGTTTGACTTTACACCAGCTCAAGTTATATTCTCCTCCTCTGTATTGTCGCCTGAGGACGAAGACGTAAGCATTTTCCACAACTGCTCGTCGCTGAAGAGTAAATTGTTGGCTGCATTTTGGAACTCCTCACGTTTTCGCGCCCTTGCCTCACGACGCTTTTGCGCCAAGGCGTTTGCGAGCCTTTCTGCTTCACGTGCAGCTTGCTTCTCGTTAGCGTATGCGTCAGCATTCTCACTTTTTATTGAATTCTCAGCCAAACGTTGCTTGTGTAACGCCTCCATTGCAGCTTCATGACGTTTGGTCTCGGCCTCGACATCCTCATCTGTGGGAAAGAGAGTGGAATTTTATTCGAAATTTATTTGCAAACTATTTTTTTTTTCTATTTACCGCTATCAACAATATCACATCCCGCTGGATTTTGCTCATAGCTAACATAAATACAAGGAAATTCAACCAAGGTTTTACCGACTAAATTTTCTTTTAGCGTCTTACGCACATCCAGGGCATAGTAACGTGTACGCGAACTTTTAATACCCTCAGCTTTTAGGAGCAGCTACAAAATTAACAGTGAAAGTTAATTTTCTTAAAAAATGCACGCTTTATCTTCCATACCTTTAATCCATTTAATCCTGTACTTTGATAGTATTCCAATGCCTTTTTCTGCGGCACTGACTCCGCATTCTGTATGTTTATATATTTATCCAGCAACTGTGCCAACTTAAAATCCTCATCACAACGCTCATCAACATACTGTAGCGCACCTGCGTTGATAAATATCCATTCTATGCGCCAGTAGATTTTACGTAAGTTCCAATCATAGAAAGTTGTATTATTTTTGTGACGCGTGAAATTTGGCAATAAAAACCGCAGAACAGTGCGTCGTTCAGCGGCTGCTCCACGTAAACGAAACAAATGTGCTGGCAATGTTTTATTGTAGCGTGTAAAACGCTTAATTGTATCATTCTTGCGATCATTCACATAGCGTGTAGACTCCTCCAGAAAGTAGTAATCGCTCATGAAGTCCATTTTAGTCATCTTTCGCAAGGGTATGAATTTAGTACGATCGCGTATGCCATCGCAGTCCAGCTCCTTTTTGTGGATTTGCACGCAACGCAGGGAACAGGTCTTCACTTCGCATTTGGGGCAGCTATAGCGCGCGTTCACACCAGCGCAGACTTCGCATTTGCCAAGGCGAGTTGCAAAGTTATTGGAGCTGGTTGTAAAAGAGGAGAATGGATAAACTTTTGAAAAGAACAATTCATTTAAGAGATTCATATGGTTGTATTAATTGATAACATGAATTCAAGTGTTCTACATGGCAGTTTAAATACACACATATGCATAACTCTTTACTCTCAAAATCGCTTTTTCTTATCAAAATTCAAATTCATTTTGTCTTTCTTTGTCTTAAAAATAGCCGCATGGTACCTGCTGGTCAATACAACATTATCGCTACTGCTGCTATCATCTTCACTATCAGCATCTTTTGATAAACCACAATTATATTTGTTCGCGCGCTTCTCATTATAAGCGTCAGTCGATGTCGTTGGTATCTCCGTTGGGGCTTCTATCTCGTGTAATCGTTTCATACTTTTTCAGCACAAAATCGATTTAAATCACAGATTTTCAAGTTTCTACTTATTGAGTTTAAAACTAGATTCAATTTAATCAATACGAGTTTGACAGTGCGCTTAGTACATTTGTTTTTCTTTGCAATTTTCCATTATCTATTTTCGTTAAAGAATCAAAACAGCTGCTTGTGTCAATTTTGTTGTGAAAAAGAAAATCG